TCTCTCTCTCTCTCTCTACAGGGCAGGAGCCCCAGGGTGGTCCAACCCTGAAGCTCGCGCGCGAGCGCGCACCCGCGGTCCTTCGGGTGTCTGACTCCCCTCTCCAATTTGGATTAGAGAGGGCTCGGCTGGACAGAAAAGTGAAAATCCCCCCGGAGCTTGCAAGGGCAAAGACGATGCTGCCATCGAGTACAGCATACAACAAGCAAGTGAGGCTCCGACAACCATAATGAAATGAGACTCCCTCTCTCTCTCTCTCTCTCTCTCGCCCTCCCGGGGATGAGGAGCGTCTGAAGCTTCCCGGGCTGACGGCCCGCCCGTGTATTACAGGCTTGGTAGGAGAGCTGTGACAAGTACAGAGGAAGGGGAAAAAGCGAACCTCCAACCCCGCGCTCCAGGCGCCCCCCATATGTTATGGGGACGTACGCAAAGGCAGCCATGGGATTCGCCCGCTCAGTTTTCTTTTTCTCCCTCTCCCACAGCGGCGGGCCTGGCCTCGGAGACCGGGGCACGGCCTGTAGCAGAATCTCTGTTGGCTCCGCTGAACCGTGCCCAGCCCCGGCCTGCCCATCCACGAATCTCCGTGGCTCCCACTTGGCTGAGCTGTGGGGCCTCACAATGAAATCACGCCCGTCAGTCACCCCAGTGACCTACGACTTTTGCCCACTTTCCTCGAGCTAGGTTGCGGAGGGCAACGTCATATCCTTTCTCAATCTGTCCAGAGCCCATCAATTACCAGCCACCTTTCTACCATCTGCTTCATTGGCAACCATCAGTTCACATTTTCTCTTCAAATATTGCTCTTTCTCGACCATTGTCTGTGAATGGCCCGCAGCGAGAGCAGATCACACTCGGCGATTGGCTCAGTTGTAAGTTTGGCTTAGACGGATACACTTCTTGCAGTCAACTCCAGTTCACAAAAGCCTGGCTCGGTGCCACAAGCTCACGTGCAGAAAATCTTTCAAGCATACCTTCGTCCAAGCACAACTCGATGAGCTGCTCGAGCTAGCTGCGACGGCCGTCAAGGTCTACGAACTTGACTAATCCTGTGACCAGGATGTGCGGACCCTTCGAGTACGACAAGACGATCACCCAATTCTCGCATGATGGTTCTGCTCCGAACCTACTCTTTTGGAGTCATCTACGAAAACCTCCTACTTGCAAAGGCCGACTCACATCCTCGCCGTATAGTGCGACATTCTTGTCGACTTCAAAAAAGACTTGAAGCCAGACGGCCCGTTGCGGGCAGGCCATTCATTAAGAAAAACAAGAAAGACACGTGTGACGTGCCCCACAGCCCATGCATGCCAACTGTTAACATGAGGATACACTGCATGGCATCTCGTCTGGATTCTGTGCGCCCTCCAGGCACTGGTTCTCTGAGTCAAATCCAGACCAACGATGCGAAAGGAAGTGCGTGGGCAAAATTCTCTAGGAGAGCAGGAAAAAAGACACCCCATGTCCCGAGTAGCTAGCATGAGCTAAGTGCTGAGACCACGGCCCCTCCAGTAAATACCTTCGAGCCGTCCACTATGATCACACGCAGGCCGAGCGTGCGCTCGACCACTTCCATTCCAGCATTGCTGGCAGGTTGCTCCTTTAGGTGGCCGTTTCTTGAAACGTACAAAATCTCGGACTGGCACAGACTGGAGAGTGCACGGAGTATCGGCGAGGTCCCTGTCGGCACCAGTCTGAATCCTACGCTTCCTCGCTGGACTGCATGCCTTGGACAATGGACCTCCCGGCCAAGCTTGCTTTGCAGGAGGGTCGTGAACACAATGAAGAGACATGCCACTTTCTGTCGACCAATGTCTGCTGACCCTCTCGTGATGCGCCTCACCTGCCCTTGCTGACGGGCCGTGCCTGTTCACTCCATCTGCGCTGCCCTCTAGATCAGGTTCTACAGGACCGCAGCCCCAGGCTCCCCATACTGGTTCTGCCCTCGCTATAGTTTAGTCCGCCCAACAACTCTGCGGGGAGCCTATGGCACTAGGCAGGTCCGGAGATCTCGGCACGACAAAGTAGCTGAAATTATCCTCCCCACACCATCACGACAATGGGTCGTGCCTCGAGCTCGCTAGAAATTTGGCTTGGCACCCCACACGGGTTTGTACCAGGTCTGGAACAGTCCGACGGGAGTGCCGCTTGGCTTGCTGTGTCAAACAGTTGTGGAATAATGGAAACGGCTAAGAACCGAAAATCACAACTGTCGCATGAATTCACCAAAAATGCACGGGATGGGCGGTCGCATGATTCTGCGAATCTCCGCAATCTGCAGGCTCCTTTCAATTTGATTGGGCCTTCCCTGATACAAAAGCAACAAACTAGGTACTAGGCAAGGTTGGCTACTGAGGCCATCCGGGTCGTGTCACCTCTGTGACTCGCTGGAGGACCACTGAGGTCTGCCGCTTCTGTTACAGGATCAAAGAGGACACCGCTGGTTGACTTTCGTTCTACAGTCTACAGAGTGGAGCCTCGTGCCACTAGCTCACAGCGTGACAACTGGATGGGCTTAACTTGGCCACAGGCACAAGCGTCTCACAACTCATACTTGTTGAGAGCATGCCAGAAGGCACATGAGACGCGAAAAGATGAGCTCCCATGCCTGTGGGAATCTCAATCGCACTCTTCTGCCACAGCTTGATACCAGTTCCGCGGCATCTCTCGTGGACAGGAGATATGCGGCCCTTTGAACACGCAGCTGTGTTCAGTAGGGAGCAGTCAGGTACAGGGAAGATACTCCCAAGGCCGAGCCCCAAGCATATCTTGAGAGCTATCTCGCTATCAGGTTTGCTTTCCTCCGCCTTGAGTCTGAACCTCCCGCTCAGCTGCAGAGCACGAGCGACGGGTGTCGCCTGCGTGCTTGCGAAACCGCCATCTGCCAGGAGGAGCCATTGCAAAAAGGAATGAGCAACCTTTGCCAATCCCTCCTGGGGACTAGACAACCCTTCGATACAAAGTGAGACGCGAAGAAAGAACCAGGCTTGACTATCCTGCGTACCACTGATCACTCGCTTCTTCTTTCGCGCCATCTATCTACAGCTATCCTAAAATCACCTCGTCTGCAGCCATGCTTAGTGTTGCATGCACGAGGTGCCATAAAAAAGCGGCAAAGACGATAAACGCGGCTGTGGCACCCTCAGCCGCTATGTGCCGAGATGGTGCCCACTAGTGCGTCTCCACAGCTTCTGCTAAGCTATGGCATGGACAAACGGTACTTGTGAGCCTCGCCGTCATGGTTCGTGCGAGACATGCCTTCAAGGCACTCACAATGCAGGTGGGCACAATGGCAGCTACTGCGACCAAGTCACGGCGTGGCGAGTTGAGAAGTGCCCGGCTGGTGGGGTCAATGACCGGATCCTTTCTTCGACAAGGTCTGCAACGCAACAGAAGCTGAAGATGTGTCGTTCGCGGATGAGATGTCACATCAGTTGATGAAAAACCCACGAAAGAGTGGGCATGCAACGACAATCAGCATGACACGGCTTTGCAGCAGCCTCATCGACGCCGAACCACCACGCCATGTAACAGCTGGCACTGTTTAGAGTGGGGCTAATTGCCAGTCGAGCTGCAAACTCCAAGCCTGAGCTGCATGCTGTCGGCACCGATCCATGGCCAGCTTACGCCGGCACGCAAGACGACGGTGATTGGGACCGGCTATCCGAGGACGAGGTTTCGATTTTCATGTCGCGAGCACGAGTCAAGAGCTCTAATTGCTGAAGCGACATCGCCGCCTGAAGGTCCAGGTTTGTGTAAGACATCTAAAATCTAAAAGGCTTCGTGTGGCTGTCTGTTGCCTGCTGTGGCACGGTGCTCATTTTCTGCTAAACACGCATCATTTCCACACCCCCAAGCCGCGCCTCATTGTAGGCCATCACTTTGGTCTTCTTGTTGCTTTCAAAGTGCTCAAGTTACTCAAGTTGTGTTAAAGTCCTGGCAGGGGCACACTATTCGGCCTGTGGGGGTCGTCCGTGTGGTCCTCCACATTCCGCCACTACATGGGGTGAACGGACCTCAAGCTTCAAAACGCTCCAAAGTCCATCAAGTCCCAGCAGGGCCAGATTATGAGGCTTCTCCAAATCGTCCGTGTGGTCTTCAATTCGCTGTATTCGCATCAATAACAGTAAGAGCGGCTCATCATATTTCCTACCTTTTCTCATTGTGCGATGGCGGTTGAGCACGTGTCCCTCATTGGACGATGACAGGTGATCACAGTTCTTAAACCTCTCCTCAAGAGGCGATGATCACATCTCGCAGACCCGTCCCTTAGCAGAATTAGGTCCTTCAAACATACTTTTCAAGGCTTTTTAAACATGGTGTGGGCGATGGGGTTCATGGCATTTCGCCCCGCCGCTCAATGGGCAATGGCGGTTGATGACATTTCCTGAACCCGCCAGGGCGGCTCAAAGCAGTTGTCAAACCCACGCACTCCCTCATCGCGGTTGATAGCATTTCCAAACCCTAGGTGATGGCAGTTCATCACGTTTCTTAACCTCCCCCAGTTGATGAGCAACAAAGCAACCAAAAGCACAGAGCCAGAGCATGCAAAGAACAATAAGCAAAAAGCACAAGCAGTAGAATGCATGAATAACGAAATTTGTGAAATCAAAAGAAGTAAAAACATCAAAACGCGAAAGCGGCAAGCAAACAAAGGAGCGCAAAGCAAGAAACAACTGAAAGCAAATAACACAAGACAAAACAGCCTGAAATACAAGCACATGAAGCACAACCGGAACAACATGAAACGAAAAAGACAACTCAACGAGAGTTAGGACGCCCATAAAAATTAAATGACAGAAACCAAAGCTCCGACATCCGAAGCCTTCAGCTGCAGCATGGCTGGCAAGGTTAATTAGTGTAAATTTTGGCACATGCTGCTATGAATGCACCTGCCACTATGCATCCGAAACATCTTGCAGGCCACCGAGGTGCTAAACTGAATAAAGCGGTTGGCATAGGACCTCCGGCTAACCTCACGCTCGAACGTGTCCAGCGGGGTGCCTCATCACATCCACGCTGCGGTCATCTTAGCAATGCCACGACTGACCCATCCCTGCGTCCTAGCGGCATAGAGGACTAGGGCAAGTCGAGATTTCGCTCGGAGACTTGCGCAGAGTGTCCTCTGGAGGCAAGACAAGTGAAAGCTCTGCGTCTTTCAGCCGGTGCACTTTGCACAAGCTCTCGGAGGCAGGACTGCAGCCTCGCATGCCGTGCTCGGTGAACAAAGACGCCCAAACCACCTAGAAAGAAACAACTGTGATTTTAGTTCACATGCAATCGCTTCGGGTCGTGAGGCCTAACTCCGCGACACCTTCTCGCATCTTAGGGGTGCACGTGAGAGATCTGGCCAGACGATGGCAGACACCTGAAAACGGTGCCAGGTGCTCTTGGACACTTGGGTCTGCCAGACTCACAAAATACGGGCCTCTGAGTGTCTTCGGAGGGCAGTCTGTTGTGGAAGAGGACGAAGCAGAGGAGTTGCGCTGGAAATCCTGCATTGAGCTGAAGAATTTAAGAAACCATACTTACACGCATGCGCACAGTCATTTTTGCCGCACATTCATTGGTTCATTCACTCAATCACTCATCCATTCATTAAATAATTTGTTGGCCCACGCATGCATGCATGCATGCATGCTTTCATTTGTCTTTCATGCGTTTCCATCACTTCGGGCATAGCATTCATTTCATTCATTTCACTCAGTTCATCCACTCCATCTTCTCATCCATTTTGTGCATTTCATTTCATGTTATTTCATTTTGACCATCCATCCATCCATCCATCCATACATCCATCCATCCATCCATTCATTCATTCTCTCATTCAATTCATTCCATCCATCCATCCATCCATCCATTCGTTCCATTCTGTTCACTTCGTTCCAGTCAACCATTCATCCATTCCTTGCTTCATTCCGTTCACTTCATTCCATTCAACCATTCATCCATTCCTTCCTTCCTTGATTCATTTCAGTAATTCAATCTCAGCTCAAGTCAATTGAACTCAACCCTTCATTTCAATTTCATTTCATTTCAAACACCTTCAGTTCAAATGAACTCAATTCAATTCGTCCAGTCCAGCCATTCCATTCATTCCATTCAGTCCACTCTTTCCAGTCATTCCAGCCCTTTCATTCCTTCCATTCATTCCAGTCATTGATTCATTCTATTGGAGGTTATTTCAATTCATTTCCAACCATATCATTACATGCATGCACTGGTTCACCGTCCGTCACCGCCTTGGCCTTTGTCCGCTTGCGGGACTTGCGAAGCAACCCACTTTGGCTGGACCTCGGCAATTGAAGTGCCGGGCCTTCAAAGGACCAGTGCAGCAAGAAAATGAGTAGGCACAAGTTGGAACACATGAGAATCACAACTCACATCGAAGCAAGGAGCCGGGTGGATACCTGGCTAATAACATCGAGGTCCGCTTTCTCCAAGCCTTGCCGCATTTTAACATTAGAAACATGCATGTCAACAGACAAGCATACCCGCCCCCTGCACTGACGCAGGCGACGCGACTTGCACCATGTGAACTGACCGCTGAGGCGAAAGGTTGCATTCACCCGAGTGGCAAGACTGGCTCGAAGACTCAGACGAGAAAGGCGATTGCTGCCTGCGAAATCACAACAGGAGCCAGCAAGCCCTGAAAGCCAGTCACCGGCTCACAATCTGCAGTGAAAGAAGACAACCTGCTCCATGATTGCCCAGGCCTCTCGACACCCAGATCCAATTCCAGCGCCTGGCATCCGAGAGTTCTTTCCGTTCTTTCAAAGATCACGGGTAAGAGCGACAGGGACGCTCGATCTCAGTCTGAACTCTTCCCGAGCTCGTTTATTGATCGTCTTTTCGGGTCCGACGCCAACAGATTTACGAACTGGACGCGCGCCAGCACAGATGTGTGAAGTCTCTACTCGCTCTACACAGCAAGGACATGCAAGGACCAACGTTTCCAATCTGAAGATATCTGAAGATCCATGACTGACTCGCCAAAAGCACTCAAGCCCTTCCAGGCCTTCAATGGCGAATCAGCGAATAACCTGTGTTCATCAATTTGCGCTCGCGATCACACAGCATGTGCACATATGTGTATGTGACACGTGTATGTATGTATGTATGTATACATACGTATACCGTATAACATATATCTGGGAGGCTGGATGCGGTTCCCTGTACCAGCAAGGGTGGACAGGACCCAATCCACCAACAAAGTCGGTGTCTTTAACTTTCTCTCTTCCTTTTGCTGAAAGTTGTTTCAGTTTCTTGCGTGCATACACGGTTGGCCTACGTGTACGTGTGTGTGTGTGTCTCTGTGTGTCTCTGTGTGTCTCTGTGTGTCTCTGTGTGTCTGTGTGTCTGTGTTTTAATGGACGCTCTCAGT